TCTAACAGTTTGTTTAAAAGACTTCTCATAACTGCCTTTTACTCATTTGTCAAAGATCAGTTCACTATATTTGTGTGGGTCTTTAGAGAACCAGCTGGCTTGTGTATCCTTCAACCTGGACATACTCTTGTTAATTCCAGGTATTAGTGCTGTTATTGTGGGTTTTTTCAGATGTTTTACATAGACAGTTATGTCATTTGGAACAAAGACATTTTTATTTCTTGTTTTCCAATCTGTTGTACCTTTTATGTCCGTTTCTTAATACATGGCTAGGGCTTCTAGTACACTGTCAAATGGGAGCACTGAAAGGAAACCTTCCCCTTCTTACCAGAAAAGCATCCAGTTTCTCATCAAGTATGACGTTAGTTAGCTACAGGTGTCATGACATTCTTTCTCAAGAAGAAAGAGTTCCCCTCCATTACTAGAGTATTATAATAAATGGGTGTTACCTTCTATAAAATCCCTTTTTCTTGTTCGTTTGCCCTTCCTTTCACTTCTGATCTTAGAAATTTCTACATTCCCACTTTTCTCAATTCTATTGACTAGATGTTTATCAATTTTATTAAATTATTTTTCAAGGGATCCAGGTTTTGGTTTTCTAAACTAGGAGAGTGGTTTTGTTTTTTTCTTTCACACTTTAAACATTTTACTCCACTCTCCTTGCTCGCATGGTTTCTGAGAAGTCTGATCTTTTTTCTTTATAACTAAAGTGTGTTTTCTCCTCTGGTCTTTTTCAATATAGTTGATCTTTGATTTTTTTACTAGTTTGAACATAATATAGTTGGTGTGCATTTCTGGTATTTTCTATGTTTAGTGGTCTTTAAGCTTCTTGCTTTTACAGTTTGCTGTCTACAATTAATTTTAGGAAAATCTGAGTGATTACTCCTTACCTTCTTTCTTCTGTTCCTATCTTTTCCTTAAGATAGTCCCATTGTATGTATTCCCATGTCGCTCATTGCCCTACAGATATTGTGTTCTGTGAAGTTTGTTCTTTTTTGTCTTTACATTAGCCTTGGTGAAATAGACTTTTCAGTACAGGTCTTGTTAAGAACAGAATATTTGGGGCAATTTTAAAATGCTGTTTTCTTTTCTTTCTTACTTTTTAAAATTTTTTTTAATTTTTTAAAATTTATTTTTATTATGGTGACATCAGTTAACGAAATCCAGTAAGTTTCAGGTGTACAATTCAACAGTAAGACATATATATATATATTGCACTGAGTGTTCACTGCCCATAGTTAAATTGTTTTATTTTCTCCTTTATAATGTTGAAGAGAGTGGTTTCATTGTGACCTCAATGCTCTGATGGATCTAAGAAGAGTTGTTCATTTCAAGTTTTTTCACTTTTTTAAAAAGTTTGTTTAATTAGTTTCAAGTATACAGTATATTGGTTAGCCATCTATATAGTTCATAAAATGATCCCCGCAATTGCTCTCTCCCGCCCCTGACCCTCCACCTAGCCAATTTATTAATGCTAACTGCATTCCCTATGCCATGCTCCCTAACCCGTGACCATCCATCAGCTACTAATTTGTACTTCTTTAACCCTTCACCCCATTCTCCTAGCCCCCCAAGCCTTCCTCCCCTCTGTCTGTCACCAAATTGTCCGCTATATTGGTGCGTCTGTTTTTAATTAGTTTCTTATTTTTATTCCTTAGATTCCGCATGTAAGTAAAATCATATAGTGTTTATCTTTCTGTCTGACTTAAATACCTTCTAGGTCCATTAAAGCAACATCTTTTTCCATCCCCTTTGTTTTAGTCTGTGTGTGTCTTTTAATTTGAAGTGAGTCTTTTGTATTTTCTTCTTCTTAAAGAAGTCCCTCCAACATTTCCTGTTATACTGGGTTGGCGATGATAAATTCCTTTAGCTTATTTTTGTCTGGGAAGCTCTATATCTGTCCTTCAACTCTAAATGATAGTTTTGCTGGATAAAGTATTCTTGGTTGTAGATCCTGGGTCTTCATCACGTTGAATATATTTTGCCAAGTCCTCCTGTCCTGCATAGTGTCTTTTGAGAAATCAGTTGCCAGTCTTATTGGGTGTTCCCTTAAAAGTAATTATCTGTTTTTCTCTTGCTGCTTTTAATGTTTTGTTTTGTTTTGTTTTGTTTGTATTTAAACTTTGGCATTTTGATTATGATGTGTCTTGGTGTGGGCCTCTTTGGATCCCTGATTTTTGGAATTCTCTGAGCTTCTTGGGGTTGTATGTCCATTTCCTTCAGCAGGTTTTTGCTCCTTAAATTATTTTTATAGTCTTGGCATCTTATCTCTTGCCATTCTGCTTGCATGTCCTTGGCTTTCCCATTCTCTAGATAGGGCATTTGATCCTTTTCTTTATTCACTTTGTTTATTTCTTTTTTTATTCCATTTAATATACTTCTCATCTCAAATAATGTGTTCTTCATTTCAGACTGGTTCCCTTTTATAAGATCCATTTCCATTTTTATGTTTTTTATCTCTTTGTTGAAGTTCTCACTGAATTTATCTACACATCCCAAAAGTTCATTGAACATCTTTATAACCAGTGTTTTGAACTCTGCATCTGTTAGATTACTTGACTCCATTATATCTGGATCTCTGTTCTGTTCTCTCATATGGTTTCTGCTTCTTTGTCTTCCCATTTTGGCTGCCTTTCCATATCTGTTTCTCTGTGCTAAGCAAAGCTCCTAAGTTTCCCAGTCTTATTAGTGTGGATTTGTGAAGTAGGTTTCCAGTGGCACAGTCCTGAGAGGGGTTCAGCTTCAGGCCAAACTTAGCCCAAGTCTGTGCCCCTCCAGGGCCACCTTTTAAGATTTAGCAAGCAATCTACAGATGCTGTGCTTATAGTTGCCTCAAAAGGCCGCACCAGAAACCGAGGCCAGCTGCCTCCAGTATGAGTCTAGGTGCTGCTCAGCAAGGAGCACCTGACTGACTGTGGCTACACCTGGATATGGCTGGCTGGGGCCACGTGTTGGGGGAGGCAGGGTTTCAGGGAATCTTTTGGGCAGATCGACCTCTGTTATCCAGTTTGATGACATCATAGCTATGGCGGCACTGTGTCTGCACACTGGCAGGACTCAACAGGGAACAATGGATACCGCAGGCACTTCTGTACAGAGCAAGTCTCACCTCAGCCCTCACTCTGACAATGTCTCTCTGTAAGTCCTGATGCCCCCTGTGCACAGCCAAATCAGCACTTGTGCTCAGAGCGAGCAAACCCGTCACCGCAAAAATCCACTCAAGGACACACTGCTTTAAGAGGTGTCTGCCGCTGCTGCAGCCTCCATCTCACTCAGCCTCTCGAGACCGGGCAGCCCCGCGTCCTCATCCCATTCTACCTTCTGCCGTTGCAGGGTGATTTCTTGGATTTCTCTTTAGTTGTATGGCTTGTTCATCAAGATCCCTGGCAATTTTTCCATGTTGCTGCTCCTTGTTTCTGTCACAACTTTGATCTGGTCATCAGAGGGCTGAACAGAGCCTCTGTCATCTACACCATTTTTTTCCTCTCCAAGTTTTTTCACTTCTTATATGAGGTTGGTAACGATGGCTTCCAAGTTATTTAAATGCCAGACCAGAAACCGGAATTCTCTGACTCCAGCCATTGATTGACAGATGACAGGTTTAGAGCCTCATCTCTTCTCATTTCCCTTTGACCTACATCAGCATAAAGTGATGAGTGCCTTGATGTTCCTTCCTTTGGAGGTGGCAAGCGAGTCAGTCATGTAAGATTCTACTCTTGTGTGTGAACCCTCACCCTAACCCACCCCTTAACCTCAATTTTACAAAAAGTCCAGGCATCTTTCCTTGCTCTCTCAAGCCATTTCATGACTTCTGAAGAGACCTGCCTTGCTTTCTCCACAGACACCTCAATTATGGAAGTAATAAACCCTTCATACACTCTTGATCATGTCTGGAGTCATTAGTAGGAGATTTATACTCTAAGGGATTGAGATATCATGCTCCTTTACTCCATCAGGGAGCTTGGGAATTAGAGAACTTGAGAGTGCGGCCTCTAGGGTGGCTGATTGGGAAACACTTTATCTTGCAATTTAAAAATGGAGATTTTATGTTCTTTTGAAGGAAAGCATTGCTGAATCCTTCAATGTTTGTTATACTCATGGGCAAATTAACCATCAAACCATTGTGGAGTTTATTAAATGCAATTGCAATCAGCAATTCTCAACCTGTTCCTCAAAGTCAAGAAGGTACAGGGTACATTGTTCTGTGTCTGCTAAAAGAGGTCTTCTGGCATAATTGTTATTACGTGTAGATGCATGCACCAGAATTTGGCTCCAAGCAGCCCAGAGGGACATCGGCATAAGGATTTTGTTGTCTGATTCATCATGCCTTTTTCTTGTGTCTGAACTCTTAAGTTCCAATTAACCTTTTAGCTCATCAAATTGAACAAAGAAAAGAGAAACTGAGTCTTATAAATATTATGCAAGGCAAAAACAATGCTTCACACAAATATTTCAGTTTCTCCAGGTATATCTACTTCTAAAGGCCTGGTATACTTCAGGAATGATAATGGCTAGCTGGACCTTATTAAAGATTGGATTTCCACTGGTCTGCTAGACTCTCATGTTTGGTGATGGGAATAGAGAGAAAAGTTTCCAGTTCTTTATTTTGCTTGTATTTATTGAACTTTTATGCAGATTTGACCCATGGAGAGCTGCAAAAGGTGGTTAATAAAGGAAATGAAAGTTTTTCTCACAAGGTATTGATGGTCTTAAAATGATAATATTTGTTTTATTTGTATAGCATTTCTGTCACTTTTCCATATGCTCTGAACTCTGCCATTAGAAATAGATATGACATGATCACAGTAAAAGTGTATAAATCATTTGCATGTGTTCATTTATGAAGAGGTAAATGTGGAAAGAAAGTAAGTTTCAGATGATCAAGTTGTAGCGTAAATGTTTGGAGATGATAGAATTATATGTAACCTTCCTATAGAGTATAGGTGTCTAGTGCTATTAGTCTTACCCGACCTACTGTAAACATATTTGGGATGTTTTAGGACTCCGTGGCCATTGACGATGTGGCTGTAAACTTCACCCTGGAGGAGTGGGCTTTACTGGATCCTTCACAGAAGAAACTGCATAAAGATGTAATGCAGGAAATCTTCAGGAACCTGGACTCGATAGGTAAAGATGATGACTTTCCTTGACTCACTCAATTAAAGAACAAGTATTTTTTGCTCATCATTGTTCTTCTAAGATGTGGGATGTGGAAAAGAAGGACATTGGTAAATAAACTAGGCATGATCACAGCTAACAATAGATATAAAGTCTAACAAGTTTTTTGAACTTCTAATGTTTTGGAATAATTTTTTCTGGTCTACATTTTAGGTAAAAAATGGGAAGATCATAACATTGAAGATCAGTACAAACACCAGGGGAGAAAACTAAGGTGAGTCAGATTCACAATAGGAAATAGTGTCTCATACGAGAATCTTGGTATGTTAAGAAGTTTTAAAAGAAGTAAACAAAATGAATAACTGCTGCTTCAAATTCAGTTATTCTTCAGAGAATACTTTATGTGTGACATAGATGTTCAGTGTTTGAAAAGTAATTCAAATGAAAAACAGCATTAATAAACCCTATATACGAATGTCACTGTTTTAATCATTGCAAGAGTGAAGTCTTCCTGGAGAGCATTCCGTATGTTCAATTTTAGAGAATTCAGACAAGACAGAAAACTTATACTTTTCCAATAAATCCTAATATTTTGAAAAAAATCATTAACAATATTCTCATGTTTTACAGAAGTCAAATGGTGGAAATACTCTGTGAAAATAAAGAAGAAAGTCAACGTGGAGAAAATTCCAGCCTTACCCCAAATCTCAGTCTGAACAAGAAAAATGCTGGAGTGAAACCACATGAATGCAGTGAATGTGGAAAAGTTTTCGTGAATCGTTCATCCCTTAATAGGCACATCAGATGTAATACTGGACATAAACCATATGAGTATTCGAAATGTGGAGAAAAGCCATATCAATGTAACATATGTGGGAAAACTTACATTTCTTCAGGTTCATTTCAAATACATCAAAGGATGCACACTGAAGGGAAAACCTATAATTGTAAGGAATGTGGGAAAGGTTTCTATTTTCGCACATCCTTTCAAATACATGAAAGGATTCACACAGGGGAAAAACAATACGAATGTGAGGAATGTGGGAAAGCCTTCATGTGGTTCACAGGCTTTCGAAGCCACATGGCAATGCACACTGGAGGTGGACCTTATAAGTGTAAACAGTGCGGAATAGTCTTTAGATATCATCGTAATTTTCAGGTACATGAAATGACTCACATAGGAGAGAAAGCCTATGAATGTAAGCAATGTGGTAAAGCTTTTAATTCTCATCGAGGTTTCCAGGTACATCAAAGGTATCACAAAAGAGAGAACCCCTATGAATGTAAACAATGTGGAAAAGTCTTTAAATATCATCATACTTTTCAAGCACATGAAACAACTCACACAGAAGATAAATCCTATGAATGTAAGCAGTGTGGTAAAACTTTCAGTTCTCATCGAGGCTTCCAAGTACATGAAAGATATCACAAAGAAGAGAAACCCTGTGAATGTGAGAAATGTGGTAAAGCTTTCAGTTCTCATCGGAATTTCCAAATACATGCAAGAAATCACAAGGGAGAGAAACCCTATGAGTGTAAGCAATGTGGTAAAAGTTTCAGTCGTCAGCGAAGTCTCCAACTACATGAAAGAAATCACAAGGGAGAGAAACCCTATGAATGTAAATGTGGAAAGGCCTTTTTTTGTTCCTATTCCTTAAAATTACACAAAGAAACCCATGCTGAAGAGAAACTCTATGAATGCAAGGAATGTGGGAGAGCCCTGTCCAGTGACCACAGCTTAAAGATACACCAGCGACTGCACACAGGAGAGAAACCCTATGAATGTAAAGAATGTGGGAAAGCCTTCATGTATCCTTCAGGATTTCAGGCACACATAAAAATACATGCTGGAAATAGACCTTATAAATGTAAGGAATGTGGGAAAGCCTTTATTTATCCATCAGGTGTTCGAGAACACATGAAAATACATACTGGAAATAGACCATATCAATGTAAGGAATGTGGGTTAGCATTTTATGTTCATTGTACATTACGCAAGCATGAAATGACTCACACTGGAGAGAAGCCCCATCAATGTGAACAATGTGGCAAAGCCTTCAGAGATTACAGTTACTTACAAATACACAAAAGAGCTCATACTGGAGAGAAACCCTATGAATGTAAGCAGTGTGGTAAAGCTTTTTTTTCTCAGCAAGGTTTTCGAATACATGAAAGAAGTCACACTGGAGAGAAACCATATGCATGTGAAGAATGTGGGAGAACCTTCAGTTCTCCTAGTTCTTCCCTAAGGCATAAAAAGACTCACCGGATAAGTCCTGTTGAATGTAAATAGGGTAGGAAAGATTTCAATTAATTGACAGCCTTACATGTGAAAAACAAAAAAGAGAAACCACTCTTGGAGCACATGAGTGGCCAGACATACTTCACAGCCTTACATGTGAAAAACAAAAAAGAGATTGTGAGTAACATGAGAAAGCTTGATGTGTGAATCAATCCATGTGTACCATCAGATTTATTTATAAATGTTATAAGTACATTTTTATCAAGCCTCCTTAAAGTGCATTGATGGTCTGTGGATTTGTACTAATTGTTTCCAGAGCTGAGATAATTCTGAGTCATTATTCAACAATAATACATAAGATTATAGGTAGTGCTTTTTTTAAAAAATCAGTGAATAGTATTTTATTTTTCCATTTCGAAGCCTGTGGGATTCATAGGTGAATTGAAGTGTGTTTCTCATATGCAATTTGGTTCAATTTTTTGATGTTCTATTTGTTGTGTGTTAAGGGGACATTGAAAAAAAGAAAGTTTGGTTTTTATTGGGATTTTCCTTCTGGCTTTGTGACAGTTCCTGGATATCTTTAGTCCATTGTATATATTCTATTTTTCTTATTGTATTGAGAAAGCTCATTTGGGAGAGTGGTGGGTGTAGGATCTTTTTTTCATTTTCCACACTAATAAACCATTGGAATGAGATTTATGTGTGGCAAATGTATGAAAGAATTTAGTTTCATGTGAATTATTTTAATATTGATTTTAAAGGGGACTGTGAGCTGAAAGAATGATAATCATTTTCAGAATGCACATGATTGGCTGATTCTCCTCAGCCACAGGAATCTCAGCTGTCACTTATTTATCAGATCTGTCTTCTTATTACCAGGGCACTTAAAAATTGACTGACTTTGAATGCAAAAACAATTGGCTCTAAAATTTGCTGAAGTGATAGTGACTCCATTAGTGTCTTTCTCTTCACTTCCTTTTACTATAGAGTTTTTAGCAGCTTTCTCTTATGCATCTAGGAGTCTTCAAACCACCCATGGTGGGCATGAATTTCCCAGGGCATTCTCGTTCAAGAGACTGTTTTTCTCAGCCCCTGTGTCATACAATTTGAGTAGCCACTGTTAACAACTGACAAAATTTTTTAGTTAACAACTGAGTTGATGATCCCCTGCAGTCTGCTTTCCATTTTACCTTGGGTCGTAAACACAGGACCCTCGGGCTTTCTAACCACCAGCCTCCTTGTTGAAGAAATACTGGTACTTACAGCACAGAGCCAAAAGTGGTGCCCCTGGTATATCCCAACAACAGGAGGAAGTGTGCTTCCTTCACATTAATGGAATCTGTTCAGGAGGAGGGATTTGCTAACAAACACTTAATGCTTCAGATGTTTTCCTTGAAGGAAAACCCTACAACCATGGTAGCTGCTGACCACTAGACATTTTCTAGACATTCACCACTCTTGGAGCACATGAGTGGCCAGACATACTTTAGCGACAGTGTGCTACCACCACACCTGATGCAGTACACTGCAGAGATGTTGCATTTTGTCCCTAGATCAAACAGGCCATCCTTGATCAAATATTGGACACACAGCAGATCTGTTAGTCAAATTCCAGGCTTGTTAGCATTAGAGGATTCCGTGATCAAGAATTGAACTCATTTACACATTTTTATGGATCCTTTGGCTTGTTCCAATATCTAGCTGTCTCATCCCACTGACAGCATCAATCCCTTATCCAGTTTGGCATAGTGAACTCTGGGAATATCTTGCTTCACAATAGCCAAGTACAAATCAAGGTCGCTCATAACTATACATATTAACCCTCAATCTGCAGAGGCTTGATTCAGTGCTCAGGGAGATAAATTGAGTCAGATTTCTGAGAGACATATGGCAGTTCAGACTTGATATTATAAACCTTGGCTCTGTGGGCCCACCTAACACAACCATTCAGAGGCCTCTAACCTAAAGGTCTAGGCAAAATTGAAGGGAGTTTCTTCCTCTGCCATGGCTAACTTCATGACTGACTAATGCCCTTAATGTGGAAAAAATATGCTGCTAATAATATAATCAACATTTTTCATACTAAGGAAGGGATACCTTCAGCTAATGGCAAATAAACTTTTTAGGGCCCCTTACTCCATCTTCTGGGATACTTGCTATGCTCATACCATGGCAGAAACAAATACAAATTACCTTAGCATACATGACCCCACTGAAGCCAAAGTGCAAAGACTTAGAAGAAATTATTGATACTGTGAACTAATTTATCAAAATAGAAAACACTAGGCTCTTGAAAAAGGCAATCTGTGAACCTTGTACCTCTCATGACCTTGTATAACTCTAATAGGTTGACCTAATGGCTTTCTTTGAGAAACCTTGCTTTCTCTTAAATGGCTCTCCTGCTGTTTGAGGCAGCAGTTTACACTCAGTGCCCAGTCGTTAGGGCCAATTACCATACATTGTTCTGATCATCAGGCTTACCAGTACCTTATGAGTAGAGCCTTTCTGTACTAGATATTTCTGTTGGAATGAGCACTCCTACAGTCTCTGGTGTATTGGAAGAGTGCACCCTTCCACCACCTCACATCCCACACCTGGGTCTTCCATGTAACATTACTTGTAGTCTGGGTACCCTGTATGTCTATTTCATTTTTGAGCACCCCCTTTCAATACCCTTCTGACCCACCCAACACAAATGGGCTGTTTTCCTACTAATTGCGCTCATGCTCTCGTTGTCCTTGGAGTCACTGGTTCTGAACTGGGCACACATAATGTCATTCAACAAGCCCATCATTAATACCAATTTAGAAATGTCCAAAACAGTCAAAATACATGTAACAAACAGCTAATGCTTCAGGTGTTTTCTTTGAAGAAAAACCCTACAGCCATCGTAGCTGATGACTACTTGGCTTTGAACTGTTTATTAACAGCCAGGGAGGATGCTCACCACATGTGGGTAGGCTATACTGGCAAGGTGCCACCAGTGAGAACAAGTGAGATAACAAAACAATAACATCACTAAAACATGAGAACAGTTCTGGAACCATACTGACTCACTCTACTGGATCTCTCCAACACCCAAAGATGACTGGATTCAAATTTTTTTTTTTTTTAGGTTTTGACAACTTAATTATAACGTGTCGTTTGTGTTTTTTTACATGGTTTTTATTTTATATTCAAATTCATTTAAAGGAGATGTGACATAGTTCAATCAACAAAGCTTGGGAGAGAAGTTTAGTAAAGGCATTGAGCTCATTTTTGGTATTAGACCCTTAATCAACTTCAGATACCTGCTCACACTGCCTGACCCACAATGGGTAAACCAGTTATGATTACATATGTCTCTTTTTGTGTCAGCAGATAGGAGGGTCAAACGTTGAAAACTTGCAGACTCTAACCCTACACATCTTAAAAGGCCACCCTACTCTTCTGTGTAGAAGCCACTTATATGAGTTTACCCTTCCCTTGTTCTTAGAAAGTACTTTTGAGTAATAATTATTTTTCTCTTCACTTGATGCATGTGGTGACATTCCGTGTGATGCGGTCTTAACATTAGGTCCTGTTTTAGGTAGAATGTTAATCTAGCCCCTAAAAGGGCAATGACAAAACAAGGTAACCAATGGAAAAGGTTCTTCAGATAACAAACAGCTGTTCAGTGTGGGGAATTTTGAGAAAATGATAAATTCAAATGCAGAGATCCTATTATGATAATGCTTTGAGATGCACTGGTCACAAAAGAAAAACTTTGAAACCACCTACATGGGCACTAGCAGTAGAATCAATAATTGAAAATGCCATAGTCTTGTAAAGGAAATATACAGAGCAACACAAGTGAATGGATGGTTTCTGTTCCTACACATTAAGAGCTTGGAGTGTTCATTCTCATCTTCACAACATGAAAAAACTAAAAAACCTGAAACGCAACACCTCTTCTTAGATCCATGAGATATTTAAGGTTATAGGGCAAAGAAATGCCCCCAAAACAAAAGACAGCCGAATATGGAGAATTGCCACTTACCGAGAGCAGAGGCCAATGGAGCCAGCAATCTCTAGGAACATGTAAATTGGAATCAAGAAATTGCTGGAGACACAATAAGAACTAGCCTAAGATTTGCAAATTCTACCTGAGGAGGCCTGTCTTAGGATGTTCCCTACAGTTCATGATTTTTTTTTTTTTTTTTGGCGAGAGCTCAAACAAGTTCTCATAGTGAAGCGTGGAAGAAATTGCCTTGTGCTCCTTGCAAGAAACGGGAAAACATTTCGATACACACACAAAGCATTCTGTTCTATGTAACTTAGGCTATCCCTCAAAGAAAACTACTTTGCCAAAACCTTATCTCATGGTGAAAGAGCCATCAGACACCTCCCAGACCCTTCAAGTTTATTCTTTGACAAAAATAGAGGAACCAATGTTCTGAAGTTCAATGTCCAAGGACTCTGTCCCACCAAAACACAAGAGGCTTAGTCAAAATAAAAGAGAACATTTTCCCACCCAAATACCTGACCACCATATCACCAGGGCTCCAGTATAAAAAGTGTGTTACAATAGTGAGCTAAAGATGCAGACTCTACTTAAGACTGAGTTTCTAGGAATAGACAAACACACGGGAGAATATGCAAGGACGCTAGAGGATATTGAAGCCCCTGACACCTACAGCAAACATTAAACATGATCGGACACCTATTCTAGAAATCATAAAATGTCACACTAAGGTCTAGTTACCTCAAATCTTATTGTGAAAATTCACAAGTACGTGGAATATAAACAAATATGCTCCCTCCTTTCACTTGGTTAAAATTCTTGTTTTGGCTTTGTTATTACATAAACCATAAGCAATTTGAGTATTTCCTTATTTGCTTGGGGAAAGGTTAGCCAGATAACTTCCTATCTGACAAAAGGGCAGGAATCAATACTAAGAACCTGTTCTGGAGTTCATAGTTCAGGGATTCTATCCCACCAAAACATGACACATTTAATCATAACATAAGAGAACATTTTCCCATTCAAATGTCTGAGCATAATATCACCAGGGCTACGGTGTAAAAACAGTGGATTGAAATAGCTGCAAGACACAGACTTAATTACAAATCAGTTTCTAGGGAAACTCAAAGACACCAGGGAGAAAAAACAAAGACGCCAGAGGATATTGAAGCCCCTGACACCTACAGCTATAGAGGACACTAAACAGAGTGTACCTTCCATTCAAGAAAACATAAAACATTACATTAAAGTCCTAATTATTTCCAATATTATTGTTAAAATTCACAAATATGTGGAAATTAACATATGTGCTTCCTGGTTTAACTTCTTGGTTAAAATTGTTTGTTTTTTGTTTTTAGAAACAATAAGAATATAGGTATTTTCTACAGTATCAAGATTCCTGGTCAGGTATTAGCCAAACCTTGGGAATTTCAAGCAGAAAACAGATAAATGTTGGATTTGAGAGCATTAGGGACACACGTTTTATATTTATATCGATTTTTGAAGAGAAAATGTATTTATGTTTCAAACACTATAAACAGATAAACTACAAAATAAAAACCCAGGGCAAAGTTAAAATTCTTAAGAATACTTAAACTTACCTCATATTGTAAAAAAAAAACCCACAATTTTTGTCAAATCCTTACATAGATGTTTCTTAGAAATATCCTGTAGCTGTGCTTTCAAATGACTGCTTTAGTAACAAATATTGTC